CTGTAACCTAATCATCAGTGAATTAGTTCATTTTATAGATTAATAATTTGAATGGATTACTGGGTGGTAACTGTAGGTGGATGGGATGTGGCTGAAGGAAGCAGGTCACAAGATATGCCTTTGGGGATTATGTCTTGATCCTGGCTCCTAGTGCTCTCACTCTGCTTCCTGGCTGCTTTGAGGTAAGCAGCTTTCCTCTACTCTGCCCTTCCACAACAATGTTCTGCCTCACATAATGGAGTCGGCCAACTACAAACTTAACCTCAGAAACCATGAGCCCAAAATGAACTTTTTCCTCCTCTAAGTTGTTCTTGTTGCGTATTTTGGTCACAACAATGAAAAGTTGACTAACACACATATTCTCCACAGCAGTTATCACTAACATTTCCCAAGTCAGGCCCTATGTTTCATTCCTAGCGTCTAGAATAGCACTTGGCACATGGTAGGCACAGCAGAAATAATTGAGGAACAAATGAGTGTTGAATGAAGTTGGTAGGACAATCCATGTAATTCTTGGACAGTGCCTGGTACACAGTGAACAGGATGCCTTTAGCCTCCCTACTGTTATTACATGGCAGATGCCAGAATACAAGCCTTTGTTTTTTTAAAATCTGAGCAGTTTTCAGTGAAAACATCATACAATGGCCTTAAATGTAGATTAATAATAGTTGTAACAGTGACAATAAAATAAGTAATAAAATAAAAATGGATGCATATTGAATAAACTGAATAGGAGTGCAGGTATTCTAAAGTAGGATGGAGTATTAGGCAGATTATATTGGATAGAAGCAGACCAAAGTCTATTTGCTTAACACCATGGTCCTGATAATGACAGAACAAAAATAGTGACAATGAATTGGGTATTCCTGGGTTTTTATTAACATTTTAGCTTTTTTGCCATATCTCCCTGTTTAAAACTGTGTACAAAGTCCTTTGATAGATTGTGTGGAAGTTGTATAATTAGATGTCGTCTGTAGGTAACTAGTCCCCAGTCAACTCAGCAAATGGACCTCTTTGATGATCAAATCTTACCCTAAAATTAAAAAAAAAAAAAACTAACTAAAATTGTGCATTGAAGGATACCTCTAGCAAACCAGTTGCCTTTGAAGCTAATAATTATTTTGTTATTCATTTTAAATGAACCAAAGCTACAATTGTCAATCTCAGCTTTTTATTAGCATTTACTTAAACAGTGTTTGTATCAGTTGGGTGTAGTGATGCATGTCTGTAATCCCATACACTTGGAAGGCAGGAGGATGGCAAGTTCAAGGCCAACCTGAGTAACTTAGGGAGGCTATAAGCAATTTAGTGAAATCCTGTTTCAAAATAAAAAACAAAAGGGCTGAGGATATGACTCAGTGGCCAAACACTCCTGGGTTCAATCCCTGATACCAAACAAACAAACAACAACAAAAAAAAAAAACAGTGTTTTCTACCAGATTGCTGGAATTCTAACCAACAGTGAGGCATTTGCTCAATTAATTAGCCTTAGCAGCCATATCTTGGTAAACATGCAGTTTCTTTTTTCTTTTCTTTTCTTTTTTTTTTTGAGCACCTTGGCACCACTGGAGATGTAGCTCAGTGGTACAGCATTTGTTTAGTACACAAAGGCTCTGGTGGTGCTCTTGATCCCAGCACCACAAAACAAAAACAAAACCCCACAGAGGGAGACCCTCATCACTCCATAAGAGGATGCCTAGGGGCTGGAGACTCTGTATGTTGTTTATCTCTTAATATTACTTCAACAATCAATCGTTTTTTGTTTTCTTTTTGCAGTGCTAGGTATTAAACTCAGGGGAGCTCTAACCACTGAATCATATATCCCCAGCCCCATCAAGTAGCTTTTTAAAATCTCAAGGGTGTAGCTGAAGCAGAAGCAGGATTTAGACTCATTTTACCCAGTTAGTGCATTCTTAAAATGTTAGTGAGTAGACAGAACTGCAATTTGAATGCTTTAAATAACAAAGTCGCAGGCTGAGGGCTGAGATGGATTCTCTTTGTCATGCATGAGGTTTAAGATATTGAGGCAACAGTTATAAATTGGAAAATTTTATTTAAATGTCACGATTTTTAGTAAAAGTATTACTGGCAGCTAAGCCAGGGAGGCTAACGGGATCCTTGCTGTCCATATTCAGTTGCCTGCTGGCTGAAGAAACAGGCAAATAGGTTGGGCAACTTTGCATATCCCCATAATCTCAGCTACTTAGGAGGCTGAAGCAGGAGGATCAGAAATTCAAGGCCAGCCTCAGTAACTTAGTGAGACCCTGTCTCAAAATAAAAATAAAAAAGGCTGGGGATGTAGTTCAGGTGCAGAACATCCGTGGGTTTAGTCCCCAGTCCAGAGAGAGAGGGAGAAATGATGGAAAAGGGAAAATGGAATTTTAGGCAGTTTAATTGAGCTGGGGAGAAATAGCTAGATTGCTTCTTCACTGGTACAACAGCAGTTGCATAAACAAAAGCCAGGTGATTGATATATATTTAGATAGGCTATACTACACAGAGAACATATCAGTTTTAATTTCCTTGGCATCTGTCCTCACAAGGAAGTTTTTGTTCTCAGTAGAAGGAAATCAGAAACTCTCTGTTTCAAAAAGTCTGTTCTGGAGCCACAGGGCTCTGTTCCCTGTGGCTAGTCCTAGGGCTGCTTAGTCAGTCAAGTTTATGGAGAGTTGTGGGCTTCTTTGCTGCTGCTCCCCTGGCCTCATCTCACCCCCAGCCCAGTGTTTACTTGCCTGCCTCTGCTCTCACCTGCCGAGTGCAGTCCTGTTCAAACGGTATTTCTGTGAAAGATGGCATGGGGTGGGAGAAAACTTTAGCCAGCTCCACTCTTGCTTATCTTATATTTAGAGATTCTTTGTGATGCAAACTTCCTTTGAAAGGGGTTGTTGCTGCTGAACAATAACACAAATGCAAACGCAATTGATCCTGTTGTTTGCCAATTCCATATTTGCGAATTTGCCTGTTTGCTAAAATTTATTTGTAACCCCAAGCTAATACTCCTGATACTTTTGTGGTCAACTGCTGTTGCATGCAAAATGGAAAATTTTGAGTTGCCAATGTGCACATCCAAGCTGACACTGAACAAGGTTGTTCTGTGCCTTCTTGTTTCTGCTCCCACACTGTTAACAAGTATCCTTTTTGTGGCTTACTTAATGCCATGGTTTTGCATTTTTGTAGGTAATTTTACTGTTTAAAATGGCCCCAAGTATGGTATTGAAGTGCTCGCTAGTGTTCTAACCGTAAGAATGGTGTAATGTGCCTTATGGAGAAAATATGTGTTAAGTTTTTCAGTGTTACATACTAAGTAAAGTGCCTCTCAACAGAAGCACACATGGAACAAAGTTGTGTATTGACCAGTTGACACAAATGTTATGACCAGAGGCTCTGAGGAATTGAACCATGTATATCCTCTAGGAGCAATGGTTTGGTATTCATGAATCCAGTGTTTATGGGGACTTTATATAATCCATGAATAATGAGAACTGGTTATAGACTGAAACTCCACAATCCAAGGAAGTATGTTACATAAAAGGAAGTTAAGCCTTTTGGATGTGTTCCAAATCTTCTTTCATATAAATCCAAATTTTTCACATTCTGCATTGTGTGATGTATGGTTCACCCCACATGTATGTCTGGCCTTCAAGTTACTCTTGAACTCCTTGAGGGCTGTCCTGTGTACTTCTTTGAACAATACTTATTGATAAACAGATACTTCATAAATTACTAAGAGACACTCAGGAGCAAAGGACATAATGACCTGGCCTTAGATGGACACTCACCAACATTAAGTCTTTGAGAATGCTGGAAGGGATACATAGAACTCTGTCCAGTTTTCTTCTGTTGAACCAGGACAAAGAAATGCAATAAAACAGTACAGGGACAAGAGCAAATTAGGAAGCCAAGGCTCATTAAGACCACATTTTCAACCTTAGCTGTAGTTTGGAATGACCAGGGAAGCTTTAAAACTACCACCTTTGGGGCTAGGGATGTAGCTCAGTGATAGCAAAGTCTAGTGATAATAAGCCTAGCAAAAGTTTGGGTTTAATCCCTAGCACTGCCAAACAAAAAATCCTATCTCTGAGACCCAACATCCAGAGATTCTGATGTGATTGGTTTGGGGCAGGACCAAGCTTTACAAGTGATTCTAATGTACAGCTAGACTTGAGAGCCTCTGCCCTTGGGAATGTTGAATTTGAGATCTGAAGAAAGAAGGTCAACAAACTGGAGACTATCATGCTAAGTAAAATAAGCCAATCACCCCAAACAAAAGGCCAAGTCTTCTTTCTCTTTGATATTCAAGAACACACAATAAGGGTAGGGGAGAGAAGAAGAAAGTTCACGGAATTAGACAAAGAGAAATAAAGGGAAGGGAGGGCAGATAGGAATAGGAAAGATAGTAGAACAAATCAGACATAACTTTCCTATATTCACAGGACCAATGAAACTCCAAATTATGTACAACATGTAGAATGGGAGCCTAATTAGAATAAGTTATACCCTGTGTATGTATGATATGTCAAAATACACTCTACTGTCATATATATCTAAAAAGAACAAATTAAAAAAATAAACAGGGTCATCAGGTCTACCCTGTACCTTTGTGAGTTACCTTCTCAAATGTCTCTTATGTGGTTTCAGGTGTATCTTTAGATTCCTCTCCAATCCCTGTGCAGTTCATTGTAGGGCAGATAAGGGTAAACCTCTGAACTGGTTATTTCTGCTGCTTTTCTTTCCTGAATCAACATTTTGATGGAAAAATGAGAAAAGATGTTGAAATATTGTTGGCAAATGCGTACTCTTGCTCCTCACAGATTAATCTACCTAGAATCAAAAGTCTAAATCCTACTTTGATCATTTATATCCTGAAGTGTAGTTTATCTCTCTAATTCCTTTTCTCCTCTTAGATTCCTGACTCATTCTTCCCTCCTGTATCATACTTTGATGTTGTCTCTCTTCTTTTTATCAAATTGAGTTGAATTACTTCTTGTGGATCCATAAAGTGAGACCCACATCTTACTCCTTTGGCAGTATCCATGTCCCATAAACCCTAGTCTGGGACTTCATCACTAATGATTCCAAGAAGGCAGAGCAACATTATGTACTTTGAGTTGGACCTCATGGACTCCTACACAATCTCTGTCCTCAGCAGCTGTCAGATGATGCCAAAAGCAAGAACCTCTAAGATGTACTCGCCAGGGACATCTAGTACTGCCTCAAGTGCCACTTGGAGTATGTCAGGCTCAGGATGCCCTCATGGATGATCAGACCAATGAGGCAAGGGGCTGTATGTAGAGTACCTCTTCACTGCCATTGTGGGGAACTAGGAACACAAGAGGCTCATGATCTGAAATGGACATTAAGTCCTGGAGGTTACTGTCCTAGACCTGTACCTTGCCAAGGAGGCAGAGTGGCTGAGGAAACAGATTGGGGCAGTGGAAGAGGTGGAAGAGCAGTGCCATCCATTGTATGGGCTGAACCTTTCCCAGGTAAGACTACATGAAAGACTTGGTGGTATTTAAAAGTTATCTTTGCGCAAGAATGCTATTCTGAGGATTAAAAAAATAAACCTATTTGTTATCACTTATTTGAGTATTGCCAAAAAAAAAAAACATTTTTTCTTGTCATGTCAACAAATATTGTGTGCTAATGTTATGCATTTTTTTTAAAGAATTTTTTTTAAGAGAGAGAGAGAGAGAGAGAGAGAGAGAGAGAGGATTTTAATATTTATTTTTTAGTTTTCGGCGGACACAACATCTTTGTTTGTATGTGGTGCTGAGGATCGAACCCGGGCCGCACGCATGCCAGGCGAGCACGTCACCGCTTGAGCCACATCCCCAGCCCCCCAATGTTATGCATTTTTAATTCAGATAATTCATTAAGAAGCTGCTTTGAGAGACTGTGGACAGATGAATGCCACACTGGTTGTCACAGGGTATGGCCTAGTTTGGAGATGATGCTGGCTGTGGCTGTTTTGGGTAACAGCAGTCCCTTGGAGATCATTGTTGTGCCTTTTCAGGACACTGCCCCCTGGACAGTGCCTTTTCTAGGTATAGTTATGTTCCACTTACTCATGGTTTATACCTCAGAGCACTGGAATTTAGGTTGAATGGTAGGAAGTTCTTCACTTCTTATAAAACAAGCAATACTTGATTAAAGAGCTTATTTACTTTGGTGAAAATTGTCTTAAAGTGAATTAGATGAGTTTGATCCCCAGCACTGCATTAAAAAAAAAAAAGGGATTAGATGCTTCTGGGAGCCAGTGGGATGTTGCATTATGAAATACATCTTGTTTTGTGAATATTCTCAGTGAGTGGCCTTGAGATGTTGGTCCTCAGGATTTTGGATGGCCATTAACCCAAATATTTGCTTTAGCAAACCTTGAAATGCTGAACTAGGATTGTTATTTAAAGGATGTAAGGACATGCGACTAAATCAGTCAGGGTTGCTCCAGGTGAACTGGGCTGGCACTAAATAATCACACAGACACAGAAAGTATCTTTTTCTTGAGGTTCAGTGATGGCTTCTCTGCCCCAGCTCCCACAAGGGAGGCAAGAGAGGCAGGCAAAAAAGAGAGAGCACGCCTGAGACCATTCTATTTATTGAGGGGAAGACATTCGTGAAAGTTCAACTCAAAGGAGACAAAGGATGGGTTTCAGGGGATGTAGTTCAATCCCATTGCTGAAATTCCTTGCCGAAGGAAGTTGAGGTCCACCTGCTTTAGCAAGCAGAAGCCAGTTCCACACCTCCATTGCTCAAGGCTAAGGGTATGTGCTCACCTCCTACATGCTCAGATCCTGTTCATGGCGCCTGGACAAATTAGAGTATCATGTCAATTTTATAACAAATTTTTCAGGGTTATAAAGGAATTTAAGATGTATAAACTAATTTTTTGTAAGACATTGAGGTTAAGCTAGTAAAGTTAGAGTTTAAATATAGAAGGAAAACACTATACAACTTATTCCTGAGACTTCTTGTTTAAAGGTAAAGTCCCCACATTTCATTTATAAACAGTGAAATATTCATAACCTAAGGACTTTTTGTATCCATGCAGATTCAACCAACAGCAGAACAAAAATATCAGAAAAAAGAACTGAACTGGATTGAACGTGCACACACTTTTTTTAACCTGTTGTTATTTCCTAAACAATATAAGTTAACAACTATTTTCGTAGCATCTACACTGTATTAGGTATTACAAATAATCTCGAGACAATCTAAAGTATATGGGAGGATGTATGCAGATTATATGCAAATACTACACCATTTTATACAAGGGACTTGAATACCCATGGATTTGGGGGATTCTGAAACTAAAATGACTATACAGCTCAGGGACCTTTTTTTTTTTTTTTAAGTTCTGGGGATTCAACCCAGGGCTTTTGTTTTTGTTTTTGCCTTGTGGTGCTGGGGTTTGAACCCAGGGTCTTATGAATGTGAGATAAGCACTCTATCAACTGAGTTATATCCCCAGCCCTCAACTCAGGACTTTGAGCATATCAGGCAAGTGCTCTATTACTGATCTACAATCCCAGCCAATTCATTAACTTTTAACATATGTATATATACAAATAACTATCATGCACAGTAGGATTTCCATCATTGCATAAAATTATTTTAAAGTGTTTCCTTCCTTCCTTCCTTTCGTGCTGGGGATTGAACCCAGGGCCTTGTTCATGATAGGCAAGCACTCTACCACTGGGCCACACCCCCAACCTTTACTGCCAAGTTTTTATTGCAGCATTTCTATACAGAAAAGTTCACTTGATGAATTTTTAAATGTAGCCATGCTCTCAGCACCCAGGGTGAAAAACAATAGCACCAGCTCCCTGTCTTTTAAGGACAACTGTTATCCTGATATCTTGTGTGTGTGAGGCCAGAGTGGTAACCATTGCACTATGAATCTAGGCTGTTTATCCTGACATCTTGGAGCATGAATTAGTTTCACAGTTTTAAGTATCCTACTGCTGAGTTACATTCCAGCTCCTGACTGCCCCCCCTCCCGCAAATGGGGCCAGTACTGTTACTTCATTAGTTTCAGTCCCCACTCTTCTCTGTTGCCTTTCATCTAGCCCTCTTGACTCCTATACACCCTGTCTTCCAAGGCTCCAGTCAGGTTCATGGCTCCTGGTTTGTGTGGTACAGGTCCCTAAGATTAACTAACTGAAATTTGTGAATAGAATAGATGCCTGACATGGATACCTGGATTTATCTTGCCAGTTCATGGCAGAGACCATCCTTGCCCCTCAGGATGGAGTTGGGTTGTGACTTCTACTTTCTGTTACCCAGAGTTTTCATATTGCTGGCTGTGTTGTTGTTCCCTCTGTAAAAGAAGTTTGTGAGATGGGAGCTGGAGGTTTCCTCACTTCCACCAAGTCAGCACAAGTGGGTTTCCTTTAAAGATACAGGTTCCCCTAGAGAAACAATCTTCCTAAATCCAATGTCCGTGATTACACACCACTAGGCATCTATGAACAGGCTCTGGGCATGGGGCATTTCTATGTCAGCTTCCTCTGAGGCTGAAGAAATGAACTTGTCTAACCAGAAGACTCTCCTGCCCACTTCTGCACAATGGACTGGATGTCACAGTGAGATACGGTGGGCATCTTGGACAGCCCAGTCTCTTCAGCATTGGACTCTGTCCTTTGGGACCCAGCCACCTCTAGGTTTGGAGTCTGAATCATGAATCCCTAAACTAATATGAATGCAGCCACCAGTTCTGGGTTGTCCTCTGCTTTTCACAAGAAGGGCCTGCAGTGTGGGCATTCTATATTCTAAGAATCAGCTAGTTGGATGTAGAGGTCTTTTGCAAACCCTAAAGTGCTCTTTTGTGAATGCTTAAGTGTGATTTGAATTGTTGTACAAAGATGGGTTTGTTATTTTCTCTTGCCAATAGATGGCACTAACATATTTTGTATTTGCCTTCTCAGCTATCCCTTTTCTAATTGTATCTTCAGTAATATGGAATGTATTAACCCTCTTTACCTCTAGGACTAGTAACTCCCTCTCTTGTCTGAAAAGCTGTCCCCCTCCTCACCTTATTTATTTATTTTTGCTTCTGACAAAATGAAACCTTAAGCAATGATTTAGGCCTGGTAGATATGCTTCTGGATCTTATGAAGTAGTGAGTTTCTTAAACCATAGTTTGGGGTGTTGGGAAGTTAGGAATCAGTCTTTGGAGCAAGTTGTCTTTACTTTAGTCAGTCACCTTACAGAAGAAACAACTGGCTTTAGGATGACTTACTGGAAATATGCAGGGCATGGTGGTGTGGGAGGCAGCCACTGCTTTAGGAGCTTGTGGTCTGGCTTGGAGAGGTTGGGGAAATTCCTACAGAGATCCCATGTCTCCAACTCTCTGGTTAGTAAGGGCCAGGTGAATGCTGGAGGAGTGGGAGATAAGGAGGGGCTGGCAGCCTGAGGGGCCTCATGAGGAGGAGGGGGTCAAACTCCTTGAAGAGGAGGTAGTCTGGCTGGTCTGAGGAGAGGTTCTAGGGATTCCTTTTGTTGTACTCCCCATGTATTCTTGCATTGATGCATAGGGAGGCAAATAGGCTGAGGCCAGCCAGCACTAGGAACAGTTTCCTGGACTAACCATGAACAGGTCCAGCTAGAGGCAGAGGGTGAGACATAATGAGAATTGGTGCAGAGCAGGTCTGGGCTATGAGGTCTCCTGTTTCTAATCTAGTTCTGCTTCTTAGAGCTATCACCTACCATTTTTATAAGTTTGATTTACTGAGGGGTTCTTTCAGCATATATTCTAGTAAAAGCTAGAGAGGTCTCATTTTTCAAATTGACTGGGGGCTGATGGAGGGACTTTCCCACATTTTCCACAATTTATTTGGAACATGGACATCTGATATTCTCTTTTTCCTGGGTAGGTTTAGTTTAAAATAAATGTCTAGGAAAATTATGTGAACTGTTTGAAAGGAAACTGATCCCTAAAATATGTGCAGATCTTTTCATGTACATGTGATGCAACATCCTCAGTAGAAACTTCTGAGAGATAGGTGAGCTGTGTTATAGGCATATGCTGTGCCCTCTGCCTAGAGCCCTGCCTCATGCTTTTGCTCTGGCTAGTGGCTCATTCATCTTATTCACAACTTCTGAAGGAAGACTTCCCAAGTCCAGAGATGACCTTCTGCAGTCTCTCAGAATCCCTGTGCTGGGGTCCTGATCTGTCCTTGAGGTGGACCATATACTCTTGGTTCTTATGTGCCAAGCTCTCACCAGTGGGAGGTACTCATGAATGGTTATTGGATAATGAGTGAGCCATTGCGGAATGTGCTAGCCAGATAGTACATGTGATAGTCAGATTTCAATGTACGGCTCTGGGGCAGAACCAAGGGCACCAGTGAATTTATAAGAACCTTGGCAAACAGAGGACACAATATGAATGTGTCCTCAAGACAGAATAGTTGAATATAGCCCTTCTAATAGCTGAGTACATGTGAACCATCATCTTAAAATTCATAGGGAGTCTAATCTTTAT